GATGCACGCCTACCACAGATATTTGCACGGTGCAATGCATGTGTGCCACGCATATCTGAACGTTACTGCACATGCGTGTTCGTGCATTTCACCACCCATGTCTACCACAGATATCTATGCGGTTACATGCATGTCTGCCAGCTACATGACAACATCTCCCGCAGCTTCATGAATTTTCTCAGGGGATGTGAGATCAGTTTGGCAGGGCCATGGCTTGGCGTTGGCAGGTTTGCAGTGGTAGATTCTGTGCCCTCTGGGTGACCCGGGTGGTTGACAGCTTCTCTGGCTGCTGCTCTTTCCTTTTCTCAGTCATGGAGTCAGCGTGACTGTCTGCTGTCTGTGCAGATTGTGTCACTCCACAAGCTTCTGAGTCATCTGAACAGATTTTGTTACAGCAAAAAAAAATCCTGCAATCCAAATACTATAAGAACGAATAATCCTCGCATTTGATATAGCGCCTTTCACATCAGTAGGCGAACATCTCAAAGCTCTTCACAGGTTTCACCGTACAGTGTAGTGACTGCATTTTTGTAGGTAAAAGTGGCAGCCAATTTGCACACGGCGATGAACCACAAAATAGCCATGAAATCAATTACCAATTTAACCAGTGACCAAAATAATACCAGGACTTAAAGGGTTAAATTGCGTGGACAGGTTGCATATGCGGACTATTTGTGGGGTCACTGCTGTGCGCAATTGACTGCCGCGTTTTGCCCACCAAACATAGTCAATTCACTTCACAGTATATTCTGTGAAGAGCTTCGAGACGTCTCAAAGACATGATAAGGCGCTATAATCAAATGCAAGTATTATTATTATTATGAACTTGAATTAGAAGATTGAGGGGTGATCTGATTGAAGTGTTTAAAATGATAAAGGGATTCGATAGGGTAGCAACAGAGAAACTATTTCCTCTGGTGGGGGAATCCAGAACAAGGGGGCATCATCTTAAAATTAGAACTAGGCCATTTAGGAATGAAATCAGGAAGCATATTTTCACGCAAAGGGTAGTGAAAATCTTGAACTCTCTCCCCCCAAAAGGCTGTGGATGCTGGATCCATTCAAATTTTCAAGACTGAGGTGGATAGATTTTTGTGAGGTCAGGGTTTCAAGGGATATGGGACAAAGGCAGGTATTTGGAGTTGAGGTACAGATCAGCCATGATCTAATAGAATGGCAGAACCGGCTCCAGGGGCTAAAAGGCCTACTCCTGTTCCTATACTTACCTTTAGGGTAATCAACAGATGGAACGGGTGTTTAAGGCCAGGACACTGTTCCCACTTTGGAAACGGCTTGACGCTACAGAAGGGCTGTATACTTGAAGGATAGGATCAAATGGATTGAAGGGCTTCCTTTTAATCTGAACATCTCGTCTGATGTGTTCGTGAACCCTTTCCTTCTGAGCCCACAGAACTGCAACAGCAGTGTGCAAATAGTATTCGTGTTTTGCATGCCGTATTCCTCCTTTCACTGGATGTTATGCCAGTAAAAGCCAGTCCCCATGGCCCTTGCATAAAGAGTCATTTAGGAAAGATTAATCGTATGAATAACTGCGGATACTGATTATAATGTGAATTCTTTTCTGTGTTGTGCTGCGTTATTTACACAGCGGAGTCAGCGACATTGCACTTTATAATGCCTTAATTCCATCGCAAGATAATTTTAATAAATCATTTTTGACATGTTTTGCTGCAGAATGCCACTAATACCGCCCTGAAGCTTTTACGCTTTCCCAATGAATGAAACGGATTTGGAGAAGTTTCTTGGGTTGTACCCAAGTGGAAACCCTTCTTGCTGAGTGCTTCCACCATGTCAAGGGACATTGCCCAGTGTATGCTGGCGACACTTTACCAGACTGAATAACCTCCTAAGGTTCCTTATGCTGTTAACCTTCTGCATTGCTGACATTTTTTGTAGCACAAGACTCTGCATTATAAACACAGCAAATTAATATCAGAACTCTGTTCCCTCTGCTCAGCAAACACTGGCCTGCTTTGTCTCCCTTGTCTGACTCATCCCATCACTGGCAGGTGAGCTTTCAAGCATTCCAGCCCCTCTTTCCGGAACTCCATCCCCAAATTTCTCAGACTCAACCCCTCCCTCCCCACTGTTAAAGTCTGCCTCTAGATGGTCTTCCATCTCCACTTTACCATTTTCAAACGGTTCAACTTCAGCTTTGATGAATTTACCGCAGACTGTTCCAGGATTATGGGCTGCTTTCTGTTTAAGATCTTTATCATTTGACTCGACCTTCGATGTTCCCATTTAACAAGCGTGGAAATTCTCTCACAAGACTGTCTATCCGGAGCTAAGTACTTTCTGCATTGGAGGGTTTAAGGGCTGGTGATGCCACTGTGTGAATGTACGAGACCCACACCATGATTGACATTAGTCAACTCATAAGGAGGTAAAAGCAACTTGCTCTCTATTATTTCCCCTCTTTATCCTGTTAATGCCACGGATAATAATTTAGGCTCATAACTGGTTTTGAATTGATTAAAATGTTACTTTTAAGGGTAGCATATACAGGAGAACCCCCATTAATGTGTCCTGCTACAAAACGCTTCACTATAGACCTGCTTGCTTTATAGGTGCTGCTATGCTCTGCCACTATTAAGCACTCTAGGTTTATACCCTGAGTGAGGGGTGCTATATAAATGCAAGTTGTTATTATAACATGAATGGATTGTAGACCCCAACATGTTGTCACTTGAAAAATCCACAATTACAGTATCAGACACTCGTTTTTAATGTCAATAAAGACACTTTTTTAAAAAACTAACACTGGCGCGCAAGAGTTGTTGCCACTGGCCTAAGAGGGTTGAAAATTAAAAGGGATCCTCTGTGAATGGTATCTGAACCGATGTGTTTACACTGGGCCAAACCCAATTGATGGTTGTCAAAAGGGAAAAAGTGCAATGTTACTGACTTTGTCGTGTAAATAACACAACACAGGAATGTATTTGTATTACAATCATGAGCTGTAGTGAATCGATTTTACAGTATATTCTGTGAGGCACTTTGAGATGTCTCAAAGATGTGATAATGCGCTATATAAACTGCAACTGTTATTATTCTAATAATAATAACATGATTGCAGGGTGTGCAGTTACACTCCAGCACGCTTCTCTTCAGGATCGTCCCACTAAACCCCAATTTATACTGGGCTTTTTGTGGCGAAACCTGCCGAAAGTACTCTGATCACTCTGCTAAGTCTTTGTCATGTTATTTCTTGGGAAAAGATTTAATGGAAAACACTGCAATACTTAGGGGGCAGAATACATTTCATCCCAAATTATTGTATGAGCAGGGAGAGTCTTGCATTTAATAAACCAACAAACATTATTGGGAATGATGTAGTGTGCGGAGATAATCTAAAAAGAGGCCTAATCCTCCCCCTCTCCTCCCCCGGTTGCCCAAAATTCGACAGGAGGAGGAGGGTTTCCAAAGGTATTAATGACATGGCTTACTCATATCTGAAAGTACAGGCAGCTCGATAGACAAAGGCAAGAGATACTCGCTTGCTGTAAGTGGTCAGATGGGTCTCGGTCATTCAAGGCATCTTACCGGTATAACAAGTCTGAAGTCCTAACAACAATGAGAAAAGCAGAGCTGCAATCATTGCATTAGCTGCGGAGGAACTGTGCTAAAGCAAATACTAAAGCAAATTGCAGATATATTCCTGACTTGAACATTGTGGGTGTCGAAGCTAAGCTGGTAAATTCTGGTACTGTTAGCATTTTAATGATGTACTTTTGCTTTCAGTTTCAAAAATAAAACTATGCCAAATAAATTGCCTTAGCAAGTTTGCCCTGAAATGCAGAATTAATTAAAGGCACATTTGTCGAACTTGTTCCATTTAGTTTCTTCTAGAACTTCACTTCTTTAATTTGTTCTCTTTTAAACTCCCTTGCGGATTCATTGCCTGCTTTGTACCGTACTTAAGACGTGTTTTTCAGGCTGACGGAATCTTACTGATCTGGGCTCCTAAGGCTTAAGTATCCCCCGAGTCTTAACCTGTAAAGCCTGTTCCGTCTTCATAGTGCAGCGCGTGCAGAACTGCGGAAAGTTCTTCAATTCAGCCTTGGTTTGGAAACTCTTGTTTTGCCGAAAACCGTCTTTTTAAATTCAGTCTGAGTTTAAACATTTTCCACAAGTCACTCAGGGAGTCTTGCCTTTTTGTAAACTCAGACTAAATCTAATCGGAACTCACTTAACTCCTCGATCTAAATCGCCCTCAGTTCTCAGTGTGCATTGTTGATCCAAATTAGGTTAATTGAGGTGTAGCCAACAAAGACCTCTCTGGCTCAATGAGCAGACGGATTGCTTTCAGAGACAGGTGTCTTGGGTGAGTTGCAAATCCTTTTTTGGGGGGTTTGGATATATTTTCTTTTTGGAAAACAAAAATATAGGAAATGCAAAGATTTCTTAACATTCATTAAACTAACCCTGACTATCTGCACCCCCTAAAATGCACTCAGTTTGCGTGAAAGATCAGGGAAATTTTTTTGTGACAGTGGTGTTCGGCACAGATGAAGTGACAGAAGCCCATTAATGACAACATATGCCTGGAATAGATACAAGCCACAATGAGGAAAATGAAAATGTCGCCAATCATTTTACTGCCACTGAGACCTTCCCTTCTAATTTAGAGAGTGGTGAGATTTAGGGAATATGTTTTCACTGCTTGTGAGAGGGGGGGGAGGTGGTGGGTGTCTCAGATAAAGTCCCTCGACACATGCACAGTGATAATTATGATCATTTAACCGAGGTTGTAAAATGTATTTGTCTTGCAAATGTGATTATAATTGCGGTAAATTAGATATATGTGTAACCGTGCCTTCTGTAATGGACCGTAATACAATTTTCTCATACAGGAGTACAGGAGCCCTTTTTTAAAAAAAATTGCTTTATTCCAAAGGTTTTTTTATCCCCCCCTCTCCTTAGGAGAATGTTTATGCGTAGGCAGCCTTTCTCACTGATGTGCTTCTCATTTGCAGGACCATAAGACGGAGTGGAACTAGAGTGTGGACAAAGACAACCCTGCTGTGAGTATGTTACTGCTAAATATTTACATGAAAAGTCTGTCTCTCGCAGTGTGAATATGGAGTTCGACGGGCGATGTATTGGAATGTTATTGGGAACTTGCCAGTCACAGTTACCTACATCGGCATGAAACAATATAGTTCTTTTCAAACGGAAAAAATACGTCCCTTTCCCCGAGGCACAAAAGAAAACCCCAATGTTGCTGTGATTTAAGCAGCGTGCTCTAGTTCATTTTGCATTCCAGGAAATCACTCAAGGGCTTTTATTGCGGGAAAAAAAGTAAGATTTTTTTTCTCTCTGTGGTTTATTATTTTGGAGGAAAGAAAAGCTTTATTCATGACTTCTGGTTCTGAACGAATAATAGTCAAATGTTTTGCAGAGGGGTAGTGTTAATTTGATAATGTACATCTTTGCCAGAGATGAGCTACTTAATCTATTTTTAACTGTTTCTATGGAAACAGGATTTTATTTACTGTATTTTGCTTGTTTTTTTTATTTGAGGTGGTTTGGCAGTGTGATTCTAACAGGAAAATAAAGTAATGTTCAAATAGCGAGCTGACTGATGCACCGAACAAGGGACAGCAAACAAGGTCCAGGCTTGAGCAAGTTCATAGGGTTAACCTCTGTTGTACCTCCATTTTTTTTCAGTTTTCTGCATTCCATCTGTTGAAATTCTGTTCATATCTGTAGCACCAGAGTTTAACCCTTTCTCTCCAAATCCAGCTGAATTTGTATTTTCGTTTTGTATCTCAGGCAAGCTACTGATGCTTAATGGAAGCAAGGCAAATAGAAGTTTGTAGGACGCTATTCTGAATACCTCACTGTTGTCTCTTAAATCATGCCCCCCACCCTACCCATCCCAATAATCCTGCACTTGTTGAGCTCAAACTACAGCCAGCTCTTGTTTCCTCCAGTCAATTCTTGCTCACTGATCAGCTTTGACTCTCCACTACTTTGACTTGAACTGACTCAACATGTTTTTTTAAAAAAAAGCATTCAACTAAAATCTGCATTATAGAATCAAACTAGTAATCGTTGTGTGCTTCAACTGTAGATGACATTGAAGGGTTTATGTAATGTTCATGAACCACTCAAGCCTTTCTCGTGTGTTTTATGCAATTATCCAAAGCTCCTGATGTGCCACAACTTTGTTCATCGTTCCTAAGAAATTCCTACAGGAACGTGGAAAGTGCTGTGTCTAATTCTGGGCACTGGTGTTTTCTTTTCCTCCATTCTGTCACCATTTCAGATGCACACCTTGCCTAAATTGGGCAATTTATTCAGTACCCATGTATCTAGCTGCCACATATCTGAATCTGGCACTGTACACAACCTACTTCTGTGGCGGTGATGAGTGGAATTCTGCAAGAGATTGTCACAGGTCCACTGTGATTCACGTTAAAATATCTGGGAAGATGAATATTATGGGGGTAAGTAGCTTAACAAGAAGTTTCCAGACCAGTTCAGTAGATGGAACAAGGATTGACAGATTGATATTTAATGTAGGCAATCGCAAGGCACTGTAAATTAGAACAAGAAAGCATAAGCAGGTGCACAACATATCCAATCGCAGAGGCGGTAAAGGGATAGGATTTGAGCATAATTACTGTTTGCTCAACTATTGGTTTCCAGTCAGTAGGGAAGAGCAGACACAAAGCTAATGAAGCAAGTTGCATCTTTTGGGAATTTGACTAAGTCAGAAGAACTTCTCCCAACTTTGCGCAGATTCTTGTCAGAATAATCTCTGATATTTTGGGTTCCTGGAGGTGATATGGAGAACTGTTCTCAGAGTCTCCAGCAGTCAGAAGGACTTTTATAATAGATCAAGGAGGGAAATCCCTATAGGGTGGTGTGTATGTGCGTATGTATGTGGGAGGGAGGCACATTTCCTACTATAGACAATGATAATGGGAAGTTATAAGAATTACTTGGAACACGCTTGTGGTGCCAGAGAGTGGCTAGATTTAAAGGCAGTCATGCATCACCAAATGTTTTCATAATAAACCAGGTTATTAATGCGTACAGAGGGAGATTGCCATATGGACCTGAGCTCTGCGAGAAACCTCCAGATTTACCTCTGGGCTCTGGTAAAGGGAAAATTGTGGGTGCAACGGGGAAAGGAACCCATTAAACAAACAGGTTTCGCAGCTAACAATCTGAGTCTCTGCCTTATTGGTTTGTTTACATGGCTGTCAATGAGGGTTCAATTAATATTGTTCATTCTATGTTTTAATCAAGACTTTTGTGTGATTTATTTTACTTTACAAACTTTACTCGCTGGAATCGGGCAGGACTATGTGTGTGTCTCTCAGTGCACTATGAGAACCTGGAGTCAAGTTCTCTCTTGCACTGCCTCTGGCTAGATGAAAACCATAGGCAGACACACACGTATGCTGCACATTAACCCAAACTGAGAGAACACACACCCCGTGTTCAGCACTGCTCAACTGTCTCTACCCAAAAAAAAAGGGAATTTTCAACACAAACAGAAAACATCTTTGCACGCTGCACAGGCATATTTCAGTGGCATTTTATAACTCCAACCCTTTAGGATTCACCGAGGATCACACCAAAAAATCACTCACTACAGGAATCTGAACCATCTGACGGTTGCTGTCTGCCCATGTTTTTGATCGTGATTTCAATCATCTTTTCCCCACCCACTTCAGTTCCCTCTTACCCGCCCAGCCAACAGTGGGTTATAACTGAATTCATTCTCCCTCCCCTGTTGTATTGTACAATGTTATCATCCATGTTGATTGTTTGAATCAGTTTAACCCGCTGAAGTAAGAGATGTAGGTGGAGTGAAATATTCATCAGTTGCACAATAACAACTTTCCAATGGTTCCATACTTAATTTGAAATGTGATGAGACATAGATTTACACATGGCATGGAAACAGACCTTTCGGCTCAACTATTCTGTGCTGATGTTTATACCCCACATGACTCTCCACCCATATCACCTTCTCCATCGTGTATATACCTAGCTTTCTCTTAAATGCATCCATACTATCTGAACTGGCTCCAAGGTGACATGCCTGGTAATGGAATGTCGGAATCGAGCCAGCCCTCTGTGGCGGTCTCAGTAGTCCGGTTCCTGAGCCAGGCTATCGCAGTATTCCAGGGCACTGCTGATGACAGCAAAACCAGCCTGGCTCATCTGCAGGACCTGGAAGGGCCAACCAGTCACTGGGGGCATGGAGTCATCCCACTCAGCTCCTGTTAACCCTGCAAGCCAAAGTCTTAACAGGTAGGGTTGTCCTAACTGGACAAGCAGCAGGAAAGCTTATTGATTATAACTGGAGCCTAACCAGCTAAAATCACGTAGCTTTCCATTGATAGCAAGATTTTAGCTGGTTAGGCTCCAGCAGTTACCCTAACACACACTCTGGGATCCCCAAGCCTTGTCTCTAGCCAACCTGCACCTAATACTTTCCGGTATTAGGTAAGCAGGATGCATTCCTCCAAGGAGAGAGTGTGCATTCTATTCCAACCATCTATCGCTGTGACTTCCATGTGTAGGTGGGTTGCATGGAAATCTCAGCTTGGTTTGCATACTCTTAAGCGCGGTGATGAGTTTCCACGTGTGTCAGACACCCGGCTGAACAAAACAAATGGTTTGGGGTAGGCGATTTAAGCAGGAGTTTCCTAGGCTACTGCCAATCAATTGAAAGTCTTATCAGTTTTTTTTAAATGACTTTACCTAGAGCTTGCTTTGATTTAGAATGAATAACTCAGGGCAGTGCTATCACTGTGTTCTGAAAATAACTGCCAAAGCTGCAGAATTGAGCAAACAGGTCTAAGCCTACTTAGGCTATGTTTAAATACCCCGATGTTTGCTGAGTCACAAAGAGAGAGAGAGGAATGGTGCAAATTTGCCAGCTTAATTAGCTTGCAGCATCAATTAAGTGTCTAAATTGTGGTTTGCATCTGTGCTGTCACTTAACCTGTTCACTGCATTCAGAGTTGAAAGGAAACTTGCAATTTCTACTTTAACAGTCAGAATATCTGTTCTGTCAAAACTCTGTTTCTTCTGGCATCGTGCATTTATTTCAGCATGAGGAACATCATACCAAGGGGTGTCTATTCTTCTCTTAGTCCCACACAGGGGCAGGAGCTTCATTGATTTTCTAAGTCGGTTTGCATATCAATCGGAATTTGGTCACATGTATTATTTTGCTCTTGAGGTAAATGACCCACCTGTAATAATAATAATCCTTGCATTTGATATAGAGCCTTATCACATCTTCGAATCGTCTCAAAGCACTTCACAGAATATGGTGAATCGACTGTATATTTTGTGGGCTACACCTGTAGCCAGTTCGGTGAGGATATCGTGCACCTTAAATGAATGTGGTCTGGAAGTATGGTGCAATGTGGCGCTCAACATGAAGTGCTTTTGATTTTTTGTCTTCCAGCTCATTTGGCCATTATTGCAACTTCACTGTTGAAAAGTTAAAGGGGTCGAGCATGTAGTGAGGGTCTGAAATTCTTGTTGAAGTTCTTTATATAGTATCTTTATATACTAATAAGGCTCCCCCCAACTCTCACCCACACCTCCATTTGTAGAAGTTATGTAAACTAGGCTTCGCATTGGTGATGGATTGAGATGACTTTTTTTTAATATCTTGGATGGAATTTCACTGTAGAGCATTTTTGGATTCAGCTGACTTTGTTAGATTAATGCCGCATTTAGTTTGAGGTGTGGCAGCACTCATATTGTATTGGCATTTGATATACAACTACAACCTTGCCAGAAGTGTGGAGGGATGCAATTTGCCTTTACATGCCCCAGGGTGTGGAAGGTTCTCTAAATGAAAGCTTTCACTGACACATACTTAACTAAGGATAAATATTGACTTTATTCCCAGTTTCAATGTCTCTGGTTCCTTTGGGTTCCCCGTACCTTATAGCTCTCATTTCCGCTCAAGACGTCTTGCCTTGAGCTCAGAGGACGAGGTAAAAATGATTTTGTGAAGTTCCATAAATGACACCAGCCT